TACTCTACTCTACTCTCCTCTCCTCTCCTCTCCTCTCCTCTACTCTCCTCTCCTCTCGCTCTTCCAGTCCATTACGACTCCTACTTACTGTGAGTCCACATTTTGACTAGAGAGGTTGGCAAGGGTAGGGGTAGTTTCTGACTCGATTGGGGAAGCGTAGGGTACCCAAAAAATGCCATATTTCATCAGGGGTGGTGAAATGATCTGCTGTAGAATGCAGGGTAGGTATACCAAGGGGAATTAAAAGGTGGGTAAAATGAAGTTGATAGGAGGGGTATTCATTCAGAGAGTCTCTTGAATTGTGGGTGGGGTGATGACTGGCACGCAAAGTAGGGTGGAGTTCTATACCCCACCCGTCTCATGTGCCCTCTACCCCACCCATAGTTATTTATCCTCCGGATTTCGAATCCAGAAAATGCCGAGGTTGGACATCAAGGGCAACGACAAGGTAAGGGAAGGAGGAGAAGAGGGAAGGAGAGCAGGAGCAGGAGCAGGAGCAGGAGCAGGAGCAGAGAGCTTAAAGGAGGAATGAGAGATGAATGCTAAGGAGCTGGGGAGGAGGAGACAGCAAGTTGAGGTGGAGAACGCAAAAGATATAATTTCATAGATGATAAGAGTTGTCTAGTAAGGGCATGTGTTGTGACACTTATTTTCAGACAAGAATGAAGGTTTGCTGTTGTTGTCATGATCATTGCTACAATCATGACATCTGTTACCCACTTCTTGATCATCATCTTCCATCATCATATCGGTGTGAAACTACAAATGGTCTAACTTGTGTCATCCCCTTCAGAGCTCCGTCCTTAAGATCAGCAGCAGGACAGCCAAGGTCACCAAATACTCCGACTTGCAGTCTGACTCCGGTATGGAGGTGACGGCTGCGCTAATAGCTGACAGTCTTGACAGACTCCGATGTTGACTTGAAAGCTTCCCAAGCCAACAGGTCAGTCTACTCATATGTGCTGTATACGCTCCATTGTTGTTTGTCGCTGTTGTTGTCATGATCAATGTCACAATCATCACATCTTCTATCTTCTTCTTGATCATCATCATCATCATATCAACCATGACCACCACAACAACTGACATCATCGTCATCAACGAAAACTGAACTTCCTTGACTCCAGCCCTGCTATTCAAGCTGCCCTGTCACCGGAGAGTCAGAGCCTGATGGAGAAGAAGAGGGAGAAGGAGAAAGAGAAGGAGGATACTCCAGCCTCCCTGTTAGCTTCGACTTCAGCTCAGCTTCTGGTGAGTCCGGAAACTTGCTGCCATCCTCCTTCGAGGATGCAACTGTTGTGACTGATGATGTGAACAGGATGAGTCGCACAGTCAGGACGGCAGGAGGTATACAAAAAGACGTCTGCCCTCGTCTTTGCTGACCTCTCTGCTCAGCTCTCCTCCCCGTGGAGCGCCTGTCGTAGGCAGGAGACCGATGGGGATGGAGTTTCATAGCCTGGGGTTTGAGGAGAGGTCCGTCAAGAAGTCTGTTCATTTCCAGTAAGATATCTCCCTCTCCTCTTCCACCCTCCTCTTCCTCCCTCCTCCTCCTCCCTCCTCCTCCCTCCTCCTCCTCCCTCCTCTTCCTCCTTCCGCCCCCCTCCTCCTATGTGATCTCACCTCCGATGACAGGGCGGAATCTGAACACAGGTCCTCCAGCTCAGCTCTTGCCCAGCTGTAAAATCGCGAGCTCCCAGCAGCCTCTGGGCTGACAAAGTTTCGCAGAGCTCCTCCCGTCCTCCACTCCGATTCAGGTCCTGCCAAGATGGAAGCAAGCAGCAAGCTTTCCTTCCCATCCTCCTCCTCCTCCTCCATCCAACCTCCTCGGACCCTGCCAAAGGTCTGTCAACTTGTGCTCACTTCGCTCCTCAAGTAGTGGCAGGACGAGAGCGCAATACTGCCCGTGGCTCCGTCCCCTCACCAGCTCCATCCTCTGTGACAACGAGGCAGCACCAGCTGCTGCAGCAGCCTCGGATGCAGCCGCAACAACAACAACGACAGCAGCAGATTCAGACGCAGCAGCAGCAGCATGATGATCGGAGGAGGAGCCGGTCGGCCTCTCCTCCGTCTCCCTCCGACAACTTCGCTGAGAACGTGACTCGGCTCTCAATTGCGAGCCCATTCGCCGTGTCGGACAGGCGGCGGCAGCAGGTCGTGAATCTAAGGGACGAGGACGAGGACGAGGACGAGGACGAGGACGAGGAGTCTTCTAGCAGCGATCGTTATGCTTCGACGCCACAGAGGTCAGCAGTTTGACCCAAGGATTGTTGTCGTCTGACCTGTTTACCATTTCGCTCTTGCCTCACTGTTGGTCCTCTCCCCTCCTGCTCTGACTTCCTCCTCCTCCTTCTACCTCCTCCTCCTCCTTCTCCTTGGCAGCAGCAGGGGAGGAGTACCCAGCATACACTTCTCGATGAGGGGCCAGGCGTCGAGCGGGAAGGAATCTACGAGGGGGAACGAGAGCAAAAGCTCCCTCCTCCTCCCCTCCCACCTCACCGTCTCTCTCGAGCACGCCCCCAACATCTCCCCCGGCAGGATCGAGAAGCGTCTCACCGGGGGGTCAACTGGCCAGCCCCCCGCCCTCTACCCGCTCAGCGACCCTCCGAGGCCCCCGGGCGGGCAGCAGCAGGAGAAGCAGCTGAAGGAAGTCCAGCTGAAGGAAGTCCAGCTGAAGGAAGTCCAGCTGAAGGAAGTCCAGCTGAAGGAGGTTGTCAGGCTGAGTTTGCGGGGGAAGAGGTTTTGAGGTTACGAGGCTGCAGGTGGCTGAGCTGACGCGGCAGCTCAATGAGGCACAAAGAGAGCTCGCGGTGTTGAGACGACAAGTAGCTCAGGTACTCCTCCTCCTCCTCCTCCTCCTCCTCCTCCTCCTCCTCCTCCTTGTCATCATCATCTTCATCTTCATCATCTTCTTCTTCTCTTTTGTTCCTTTGCTCTTGACGATCAGCAGGCAAAGAGTGTATCCTCCAAGGCGACTCAGACGGAGCCGCTAGCCACGACAACGTTCACATCTGGACGATATTCTCCTCCTGTCTGTCCTCTTCCTGATTTTCTTGCTCCTCCTATTCTTGGTTCTCCTCCTCCTCCTACTCCTCCTACTCCTACTCCTACTCCTACTCCTACTCCTCCTCCTCCTCCTCCTCCTCCTCCTCCTCCTCCTCCTCCCTGCCCATTGATTTGCTTTAGGCCACCCGATGGAAGGAGGACTACATCGTTGCTCCTGCTCCCTCGGAGAGGAAAAGCGAGACGTCTCCGTCCTCTCGCTCTCCAGCATCGGCGAGAGGAGAAGACCGAATGTCGATTGAGAACTCGTTCTCCTCCTCCTCCTCCTCCTCCTCCTCTCCCTCTCCCTCTCGCCAGCGCAATGTGAGCATATTTTTCACTCTTAGTCCCCTGCTCCCTTTCTTTCCTCTGTCCTTCTCTCCGACTTCTTTTGCTTCTTACCCATCCTCGCTTCTCCTATACCAATGTTTTTCTCTCCTCTCCTTCCCTCTTCTCTACTCCACTCCACTTCCTTCTCCTCTCCTCTCCTCTCCTCTCCTCTCCTCTACTCTACTCTACTCTACTCTACTCTACTCTACTCTACTCTACTCTACTCTACTCTACTCTACTCTACTCTACTCTCGTCCCCTCCCATCCTCTCGTCCCCTCTCTTTCGCTTCCCATCTCTCCGCTCCCTCCTCATTTTGAAACTTTCAGAAGAAATCTGCTCCATCTCCTCGCACATTCGCCAGGAATCCTCGCGCATCCAGCATCTCCCCAGCACCGAGGTATCCACTCCTCCTCCTCCTCCTCCTCCTCCGCCGAGTGGTCGGCGTCGGCGTGAGCGTTGGGGGGCGCGGCTGGGAGGTTGGGAAAGACGCG